CTCATATTATAAGGTAAGGTTATAAAACCACCATTTAAGATCATTTTAGTGAAAGTTTCATCCTTCAAGGCGTACCATTCACTGCTGAAATACTAAACAACCTGCTTCCATGGCCGAGATACAGGGCGCCCATATTATAAGGTAAGGTTATAAAACCACCATTTAAGATCATTTTAGTGAAAGTTTCATGTTCCTATCTCATAGAATTTAAGAACAATGATGAATAAATAATTTTCGAGCAAAATTTAAATGGCCGGCTGAATATATTACCGCAGGAGCCGTGGCCGCGGAATTTAAATGACCACGTCAAAGGGTTAAAAGTAAGGCCAAATGGCTGAACGACATCATATGATGTCGCATATTCCACGCGTATAAGGTTTTTTTTTAAATTAAATTTAAAATATAAATTGTTGTTCTATTTACATGATTTTTGGTCACAACCTTTATAAGGTGACAGCCTTCCCTCCTGCATGATCTAGTATAATCTACCGACGTCATATGGCCGAACGACCTCATATGATTTCGCGCATTGCACGCGTGTAAAGACTTTTTGAAAATTAAATTTAACTATTATTTTGTCTATGGCCAGATGTTTGAAAGGGTTATAATATTTTTGATATGCGTCATTGAGAGTGTTGAAGATGGTCCAAATTTTCCATAGTTGGTCATAACTGTCGGCATTCCTGTCAGTTTCTGTACTGTTGTCTGCAAAATGTAGAAAACAAAGAATGTGAAGAAAACAGTCGCGTTTCATTGTGTTAGAGTAGAAAGGCGTGGCAAATTGTTCTGCAGTCGACCAGTAGTCCTTTAGTCTGTCTCTAATGTCATGTCCCATTTGAATGATTATTCCTAGAAACAGAAACATCTCGGATTCAGTTACGTCAGGCCGCGGAGATGGTCTGTCTTCAAGTCTGTCTAGGTACTGGTGATAGTACCTATTCATCTCTTCCACCAGCAGATGGATAATCCCCGCAAAGTACAGCATGAAAACGCAGAGAGGGGTGGAATCCTTATTCATGTGTGGAGCTGCAGTGATATTTATCCCCGCAGCTACACCGGAATAATTATTCACACCTCTCCAGCCACACTGGTCTGGCGGTCCCCAAGTTGCCGACGAAGGTGATGACCCTTCGTCCGCAGAATCAGAACTTCAGCTTTCCTCACCACTCTCAGAATCGGTTGAATAGCAGTCCGAATCTGTGTCATTGAACAGCTGTTTCTCAATTTCAGCATCTTCCATACGATGTTCTTGTCCCATACGATAAATAAGCTTCAACAAGAGATAGCATTGTATGTGAGGTCGCCATGAAGGACTTACACTGCTAAAACACATGGTGCACAAAATGTATTACACTGCTGGAACGCATGGTGCAGAAAATGTATGAATTTTGGGATTTTTTTTTTGAATCGGTGTAAAAATTTGTTACAGATATTAAAATCTGTAAATTAGAATATCTGATTCTATATTCTTTCTAGATTAAAGGAGCGTTCATTTCGTTCGTTTATCATAAAAAATGTAGAAATCACACCATTTTTAGAAACATGCTTACAATTTCATTGCTCTAGAAGGGCGGGCATTTAAATAAACTCCGTCCAGCTGCCCCTACCGGAAATTAAATGGCCCGTCTGATAAAGGTTAATTTAGCTCAGGTACAGGAAACCAGATGCACCTGCAAAAGTCAGTGAAAAAGCCAGGGCAGAACTCGTTATAATTGCCTATGAATGAGGACCACTCAAGGGCCATTATCACTTAGATGCCTCCTTAAAACTTCCCTGCGGGAAATGGAATGGCATGTATATGTCTGCACCATGGAGAATTCAAATTTTGTTTAAATTCCCCATGTGGGATGTGCAAGCCATTTCCACGCTGCTAGTCATTCACCATATTCTGAAGTGTACGGACGTGACCCTTGCATGCTCCGAGACCTAGTTTGCAGGTCAGTTAATAAATTGTAATTGTAATCATTAACGTACAATAAATTAAACAGTGTGGTCTGGAGAACAATAAGTGAATCAACATGAAGCTGGATCAACTCCCAGAATACCGCTTAATTCAGCATCGCTACCCTGAGTCTCATGCTAACCGACCCATCTAGGTTCCTGTACCTATAACAACCTTCCTTAGTTTGACCTGTGAGGACAACTTGCAGTGTCCATCATGCACTATCATAGGGTAGAAACAGGTGTTAGCAGGGATATCACCATTCTGACTTAGATGATATTACAAAGGCAGGTTGGAAAAGAGCGGTGTTAAAATGGATATTTAATATTGTCATGAGTTAGTGACTACGCACAGGTTTTCGATTGGTAATTGGACTTATTGAACACTTATAAAGCATAACTACAAGTAACTATAATTCTGTCCCTTCATATACTCTGCTTCTCACTACAGCACTCACTAAGTCTTTTGTGTCTTCACTAATTGTTGCCTCGTAACAAATCCCCTCAGTGTCCTTCTATTCAAATGATTACTGGCTGGTGACAGTCTCGCAACTAACTAACTCACCTGTTGACTTTTTAACTCATGACGTGTGGTCCTTGCCAGTGAATCTTGGTACCAATTCCAACGAGACTCATTCCATAATTTACTCTCCGATGGCTCTGGGAGCCTTCAAACCACATCCCCTCCTTTGGTCTTGGCTCATACTCAGAGTTCAAAGTTATGTTACAACTTAAAATCAGTTGGCCTGTTGGTCTTGGTGTCAAGCCCCCTGATGGGACCCAAGACCAGATTTTTTGTTACTGTCAGACAGTTGCAGGTTTGTTGATGTGGGGTATCTTCTGTGATGAGAGGATGGGTCTGACCTTTACTGCTGCTGGCCCTCACCATTCCAGTCATTCTTGGGTTTCAGTACTGTAGTACTCATGACCATATTTTACTGTCTCAGATTCGAGACTCCCCCAACCCTTATTTACAAGGGGGTACCCAAAAGAAACCGAACTTATTTTTTTTTAAATTATTTATTCAAATTTTAAGCACAAACCTTCAATCCCCCTCAAAGTACTCTCCACTTACACTGATACACTTGTCTAGTCTTTTATTCCATTTTTCAAAACATTGTCTAAATTCATCTTTTGAGATGCTTGACAGCGCCTCCGTCGTTTTTTCCTTCACCTCAGCAACATCAGCAACGCTTTCCTTTCATGTCTCTTTTCATTCGAGGAAACAAAAAAAAGTCTCATGGGGCAAGGTCGGGTGAATATGGAGGGTGAGGAACAGGGGTCATACCATTTTTGGCCAAGAATTGTCGTACAGACAGGGCTGTGTGAGCAGGGGTATTGTCATGATGGAAAAACCAGTCACCCGGCTGCCACAAATCTGGCCGCTTCCGCCGCAAACTGTTGCACAATCTTTTCAAAACTTCGAAGTAGAAAGCCTGGTTAACTGTCTGACCCTGCAGAACAAACTCTGAATGGACGACTCCTCTCACATCGAAAAAACAAATCAGTATTGTTTTCATGTTTGATTTCACCTGACGAGCTTTCTTGGGGCGAGGTGAACTTGAAGTCTTCTACTGGCTTGATTGTTGCTTTGATTCAGGATCATAAGCATAGCACCAGGTTTTGTCACCGGTGATAATTTTTGAAAAAAAAGTTTTGATCATTTCGGGACTCTTCTTTCAAAGCACAGCATGCTTCCACGTGACCTTGTTTTTGTTCAGCAGTCAGCAGTCATGGCACGAATTTCGCAACCACCCTTTTCATTCCCAAATCTTGTGTCAAAATTCGCCGAACTGAACTCCAAGTCACTCCTGACAGCTCCATAATTTCTTCAATGGTCCGTCGTCAATCTTCCTTGATGATTTCACGAATTTTTTCAACATTTCCTGTGTTCGGGCCGTGGAAGGACGACCAGAACGAGGTTTGTCATCAATTGACATTTCACCATTTTTGAAATGGGAAAACCACTCAAACACTTGAGTTTTCCCCTTATCGTCATTCTTGTACGCCGTTTTTAACATTTCAGGAGTTTCCGTTCCACTTTTCCCGAGCAAAAAGCAGAATTTCACTGCCTCACGCTGTTCACGAAAATCAGCAATTGCAAAAACGACGATCACACAAAACGGTTGTCACTATAAACTCTGCCGAAACTAGTCCTTACCTTCTGAAGCAACGGTAGTCGGCTTATCGACTCAGGAATGTTAGCTCTATGCGCTCATAGCGGCAAAACATGGTACTACAAAAGCTCTCCCACAAAAAAATTAGTTCGGTTTCTTTTGGGTACCCCATCGTACATACCCCCAAGCACTGGGTTCCCTTTTCATTGCCTTGTACGACTCGCAGGGCTATGGTGGAGGTGTTCAAAACCTCATATTTGCAGTGGTTATGTAATTTATGCACAGACTGCATAGAAAACACTGTTACTAGCAATGTCCCACACTGTCACAGTGGTCATTGCTTAGCAAAGGGTTTATCATTGTTACATTTTACCCAGCTGCTACTACCAATCAGTAGACAATGATTAGATAGTTATGTCAAAGTATCATGGTGTAATGTCTCTCTGCCACATTGCAGAAGGAGATCATATGTCTGTCAATTCATATCTCACACTTACTTTTTATTGTTTTCACTATTTGGCTGAGAAGAGATTTTAAATTGGTATTCTTTAGCCTATATCTACAAAGTTGTCACAGTATGCCTGGAGAGACTGAATGAAACATGAAGGAGGCTTCATCTGGTGAATATGCTTAATAAAATAGTACACCCAAGATTTTTGTTCATGTTGCATGTTACTTGTGTAAGTAAAAAAAAAGTAACAGGCCGTGAAGGCCCATAGGGTTGTGAGATGTTGAGGGTCCCACATTATCTAGACAGTCGGCTCAAAGATGGCGGTAAGTTTGTCAGCCTTACGCGCCGACCACGCTTTACTCCCCATGAAAATTATTCATTTAATTCCTGGTACTCATTTCTGTTAGAGGCTGAATGAACCCAGGGCCATAGTGCGGCCGGAAGGATTAGGTCAACTGAAAAAATCCAGTGACCTCATCGGTATTTGAACCCGCGACCTTCTGACTTCTAGCATAGTGCCTTAACCACTATGCTACCGTGTTCCCCCATTAACTCCTTGTGTGGGCACTTAAATGGCTTACAGCTACATGTGAATGGCCCCTACATTTTCATGGATATTAGGGAATAAAACACAGAAGCACCATAGGTCAGTAGCACCTAACTGCTGCAGGTAGAAGGTGAATGTATCCCTGTTCTGAATTAAGTACCATGTCATAAAGATGTATGGGAGAGAGGAAGATGGTTTCACCATTTTTAAGCTGTTGGCGAGTGGTGAGTTTGGTGCCCTTGCTGCTTTAACTGTGGGGACACAAATAATGTTGAATAGCTGAATGTTACAGAAGATACCTTCCTGCCTTCTGTAAATTATAAGTGAAAACTGAATTCCAGGAATAATTTGAAATATAATGGGAGAGGTATGTTATTGCTGAGTGTGGATCGTCGTTACCAGTCAGTTGCAACCTGACATCCCTCATAATAGGTTATAGCAAAAGGAGGAGTTCATGAGAATATTGAGAATTCATCTTTCACATAACCAAAGTCCAGTTCATAGATACACAAAATTTAGTGTGACTAATTTGGGTGGTAGATGTGTTAAATTGAACATTGTAATCCATCTGAGCACTGTATTGGGCATAACTGTTACAGAATGTGTCAGTTTTATTAATTATGGTTTGCTGTTTTCCAGGGAAGATGCTATGATGGAGTATCTGAGAATTGCACAAGATCTAGAGATGTATGGTGTAAATTACTTTGAGATTCGTAACAAGAAAGGAACAGAATTGTGGCTTGGTGTGGATGCCCTTGGACTTAATATTTATGAAAAGGACGATAAGTAAGAAGCGTTTTATAATTCTGTAGAGCTCTGTTTGGTGTGCCTGTCATGTGGAATGAGACACCTATTTGTGGAGTGTAATGTTAACATAAATGATGCTTCATTTAAGTCGGACCTCTCATACTCTAAATAAGTTTGTGATAATTTTTCAGGTTTCAGTTTTAACAGTTTTCTTATACAGTTGACATTCCACCAGGTTTCTGTTGTGTATTACAGAAGGAAAATATCTTAAAAACTAGATGAAGTTTTAACACATTTTATTATGTCCCCCCCCCCGGAACTACAGCCCCAGTGGGCCTAGGCCTACCTCCATGAACTCCGCATTTTATTATGTATTGAGCCTAAAGTGACATAAAAATATTTACTTGTTCATTGGTGCTGTAGTAGTATTTCAGTGTGTTTTGTATCTGGAAGGGAGAAATGCCGCACTGTACACTGAAAGTCGCATATTTTGAAAGCTTAGTGAAAATCTGGTGGTTTAAAACAGGACTGGCCAACTTCAGCCCACTGAGAGGCTGTATACTAGCATGCCTGCAGGCCACATTATAAATATATTTTTCCCAGTGGACCAGTGGAAATACCTCCCCTTCTATGAAGCACGAAAATAAGAATTAGACCCATAAAATTGAAGACTTATGATTGAATTAAATGATGCCAGATTGACAGTTCATGCTGAAGGCTTTCTGGATTTTATCAGTATTGCATGTGATAAGTTGTTTATTAGGTGATTGGTGGAATCAGTTGAAGAACTACACAGAATACTTAGTAAGCACCATGAAGTTCTTTTTCAGCAAGATTTCCTGCCCTCCTCCTCTTATATAGTATATTGTAACGTGTTTTGTCTACTGAAGACAACGTACGGATTGTTAATTGGTGTATTTAACAACCTGCAAGTCGTAACTACAGATACTTGTAACACTCTTGCAGGTTTACACACTTTACAAACCCTACACACAATTCTCTTCACGGTCTATCTGCAGTAGTCTTCATGTATTTATAACGTGGGAGCTATACATGTCTCTCTGAATTACACACTCCCAATATAACTACTACAGCACCCATACAATCGTGAAGCCACACAGTAAGTCTTCACTGGCTGACTTCTCGGTTATCGCACACTATCACAGATTATCACATAAAATCTTATAACCACGCTTTCAGTTCTTCTTCCCATGACTGCTGCTATATTTCAGCTGAACTTATAACTTCTTCATGTTCACAATTCAACTGCCCTCCTTAGGCTCAGTTTCTCTTATAAACCCTCAGGCGAACAGCGGAAAACGCACCTCATTTCCCTGCTGGGTAATAGCTGTGTTCACCGATTGCCTAGCAACAGTCACTGAACAGACTTGCCTGTTGCGTGATGTCACAGCCTAGCGGGGAGGGGTGTTTATCTAGCATTGCATAGTGATGGAAGGAGTGGTGCTATGTGACATCACTTGCGGAGACACAGAGTTCACATGACCCCTACTTCCTGTTGCGACATCCACGTTACAATATATATAAATAAAAGTGGGGAATGCTTCAAGGCATATTTTGAAGAATGAAAGGTATTCTCAGAGACCACACAGAACCACATGGCCTGCATACCAGCAGCTGTACAGCTGTAGTTTAAAGCGTGCAAAGCAGTGGTGTAATCTATTGCTATAATTCTGTCATATGCAACAAAGGAGCAGGACAGGACATTTTTTAATCTGGTGGATATCTGCACCATCACAAGACACTAACTCGGATGCCCAAATTTGCATCCCAGCATTCAGTTTTGGAGATTGATTGGACCTATTTTAATTATCCCAGATGTTTAGCTGTGGAGTTTTACTGCTGCTGTTTTTTTCATCTCTATCATTATTCTAATTGTCTTACATAAATAAATGCTTTTAGTTGCAACTTGCAATGCCAGGATTTACTTTATTAGTAATAGATTTGGCGAGTGAATGGCTAGACATAGAACATGTAAATATTTCCTGCCATTCTGCAGAAGTGGTCAGAGGTTTCGAAAGTACCAGGAAATGGATTTTTATAGTTCAGTTAGCGCAGGGATTTTGTCTGCATAAAGCATGACATTTCTGGTATTGTGCAGGCATTTTTCTGAATCTGTTTTCCTCTCAGACTGAAAGGCACTCCCATAACTCTGACAGTTCAAGGCGCCAGATGTTTTGATTTGAATGTTTAGTAAGTTGAAATATGTGTTCGAACAAATAGTTCATGCCATGGAAGGTGATGTCTTGAATAAAATCTGTAGAGCAGAAAACTTGTAAAGTGTGAAGAGAACTACATTTTTTTAAACACTTAAACTGTCATGGCTGGTAAACAGTATGACTCAAGTAATTCTTTTGGGTGAGGCCTTGAATATGTAATTAGTATATATAGGTAAAACTGATTGAGCAGCATCACTGTTTACAGTATTAGTTATTTAAAAATTGTCATTAAATCTGTTATGTTTCTTCAACAGGTTGACCCCAAAGATTGGTTTCCCATGGTCAGAAATCCGTAACATTTCCTTTAATGATCGGAAATTCATTATTAAGCCCATTGATAAGAAGGCACCAGATTTTGTATTCTTTGCACCACGTGTACGCATTAACAAACGTATTTTGGCTCTATGCATGGGTAATCATGAGCTGTACATGCGTCGCCGCAAACCAGATACTATTGATGTCCAGCAAATGAAGGCCCAGGCACGTGAAGAGAAAATTGCAAAGCAGCAGCAGAGGTAAGTAAAATACTTATGTTAAATGGTGATATAGATCACACTTCTTAAATTTTAAATGTTAAAATGGAACCTCCGTTGAATATAGTTTCCAGTTACTGAGGTTTTGCTTTGCTTTAAATGTTATCTGTAGTGTATTATTGCCATATCATGTTCATTTATTTTTACCATTGTTTCCGTGGATATCTTTTTTTTTTAACTTTTATTTTGTATCCCATGTTAACTGCTACTCTTACATTGTTATTTCACAAGAGATGCAATATAGTGATGGGCTGTGGGCTGGTTAGCCAGAGTTCGAATCCGGGCAGGGTCAGGACTTTCCTCTTTTACACAGTGGCCAGAGCAGGTCTGGGGCCCACCCAGCCTGCTTTCCAGTGGGTGTGAAGATGGTCACTCATGTCCATCTGCTACCGGGGTCAAGAATGGTGGAGCTATACCTCCACTCCCTGATACGTCTTCATGGCATAGTGCTTAACCAACTAAGCACAGGGACAACTTTACTTATTAGCCATCCCAGTAGAGTTCATGTCAGATCTTCACAAGGCTCAACAGTTTCCCAGGACAGTGTTTGATCTGACAAGCTGTTAGTCCCTTCCTTGTTACATGTTCCACTCCCAGGATAGGGATGTTTATATGGCTGAAATGCAGTTACGTCTCCTGGTTTGACATGTTCCATGAGGACACCACGGTTCCAAGGTCATGGGCTGTTCATTCATGTGTTCTGTTGTGTATATTGTGTAGTGACAGAAATAAGTTAGAGGCAGATAACAATTATTTGGTGCTATTGCAGGGAAAAGCTGCAACTTGAGATTGCAGCAAGAGAACGTGCAGAGAAGAAGCAGCAAGAGTATGAGGAACGGCTTCGCACCATGCAAGAGGAAATGGAGAAGAGACAGCAGGACCTTGCTGAAGCTCAGGACATGATTAGACGTCTTGAGGAGCAACTCAAACAACTTCAAGCAGCCAAGGAAGAACTAGAGGTTCGACAGAATGAATTGCAGGTATGTGTGCATGAAACACCAGCACATCAAAGCTAGATAATTTTGTCGTCCATTTCCTAAACCAAGAGTAATTGTATGGTCCATGTCTTCCAGTCTTATAAGAATCTGTAAGACTTGTTGATTTTTGCTTGCTGTAACTATCCTCCATACAGATGAGGTAAGAGAGTTCATATTTATTGTACCCTGTTCCTGAATGTTTCTTTCTTTGTTGAAATCTATTTGGATAGTTAAAAAAGCACCATTCAGCTATGCCATAAGTAATCTTCTTTTGAAGGTTGCTGGAAGGGTTAACTAAAGATTTATTATTTGTGCATGTAATCAGTGTTGTGGACAAGCATGAAAACATTTTTAATTTTTTGGGCAGTTAATACCTAACAGATAGGATAAAAGGTAACAACAGCCTTCAGATCCATGTACTTCTAAACATCAAATAGATATTTAAATGGTAACAGCACAGTACTAGCAGATTGCAGACAATTGGGGGGTGGGGTGGGGGGTGACTCTTAGAGGTGTGTCCTGCTTCAGGATTTCTGAGTACAGGTATGCTGTAATTATGCTAGTCTGACTGAGGAGTTTTTAGTTCTGGATGTTTCAACCAAGTTGTATCACTAATACTCGTATGATGACTTGAAGTAGAAAGGAAGGGCAGCTGTTTCTAGAATTTATGGTTAATTCTTACATGAGGAAGAGAGAAATAAGAGAAAGAATGGACCCAGGTGTAAGGAATGCTTATACAAGCATAAGGAATAATAAAAAAATGCTTCATTAATGAGCACTTGGAAATTTCAGTGAGAAATCATTAAAAAGAAACTTCATCAGGAAACCTAACGTCAGTAACTTGAAAGGTTGGGCTGCGCCATAGCTCAAGTGGTTAGTCGCTGGCTTCACACCGTGGCGGCCCGGGTTCAATGCTGGGTCTGGTCAAGTGGAATTTGTGGTGGACAAAGTGGCACTGGGGCAGGTTTTCTCTTCAGTACTTCGGTTTCCCCTGCCAGTCTTCATTCCACCAATTGCTCCACAATCACCTTCACCTATCATCTGGTGCTGGTACAATAGGCCAGAAGTGGTTGCATTACAAGGGACTTCTTAGTCCCACCCCACTAGCAAAAAAAAAAAAAACAACTGAAAGGTTCTGTAAAAAGACAGCTACATCACCAAACATGATAAAATAACATCCACTAAGCCATGCTGCTTTCTGCAGGAAATTTGTTGGCAAAGTTCATTATAAAAGTGAGCTTCGCCAAAAATACCTAATTCATTGTCTGCAACTGGTAACATAATAGTCATTATCTATTGCACCAGTAAACAAAAGAGATAACACATCTTTTGGTCACAACTTGACTGACTCAGATAATTGTGATGTAGTGATTTGGCCCTCACATGCTAAATAAACACTGACAAATACTTAATAAAGTTCACCAGCAGGTATTCATTCATATTTATTAGCATTCTGTTAATCTATACAAGGTCAGCTTATAACCTATTGGATATAGAACTTGTCATACTAAAATAAAATGCAAAAGCAGTAATGTCATACAATCATAATAGATCCCCGAATAAAAAACAAAACAGCACAACAATTCTTAAATATAAATGCACATGTGTCCTTACAAACCAATAAATGTAACAATAATACAAGTTTACTAGCGTATACAATAAAAGTCCTCCCACAGTTAATCAGAGTATTCAAAATAGAAAGTTTCATTGAGTTATTTGATAATATTCATCAATACTATAGAATGCATGTTCTGTAAAGGCGTGTCCACATTACTCGTGCTTGTGCTTGTCGGGAGACTCGTCTGGCTTTTACTTGTGCTCTTAAATCTTCGTCCACACTACGTTGTGCGTTCAAGTTCTAAGGTCTCCGAATTTTTTCTCACACAATAATCATACAAAAAATTTGAAACTTCTGTCACTTTTCGATGTAATCTCCCTGCAGCCGTACACATTTTTCACAACGTCGATGCCATGATTCCATGGCCACTGCGAATGCTTCTCTAGGAGTCGGTTTTGACCACTGGAAAATCGCTGATGCAATAGCAGCACGACTGGTGAATGTGCGACCATGGAGAGTGTCTTTCATCGTTGGGAAAAGCCAAAAATCACTAGGAGCCAGGTCAGGTGAGTAGGGACCATGAGAAACCACTTCAAGGTTGTTTCCAGGAAGAAACTGCTGCGTCACGTACGCCCGATGCGCTGGTGTATTGTCCTGGTGAAAGAGCACGTGCAGCCTTTTCTGGCCGTTTTTCTCGCAGTGCTGGAAGGAGCTTGTTCTTCAAAACATCTTGGTAAGATGCACTTGTCACCACAGTGCCCTTTGGAAGGCAATGAGTAAGGATTACGCCTTCGCTGTCCCTAAACATGGCCACCATAATTTTTGCAGCACTGGCGCTAACCTGAAATTTTTTTGGTGGCGGTGAGTCTGTGTGCTTCCATTGAGCTGACTAGCGCTTCGTTTCAGGATTGAAAAACGGCATCCATATCTCATCCATTGTCACTATTGATGAAAAGAAAGTCCCATTCGTGCCTTCATCACATGTCAACATCGTCTGGCAAATTGCCATGCACGAAGCCTTGTGGTCGTCCGCCAGCATTCATTGCACCCACCTGGAAGACACTTCCCGCATTCGGAGGTCTTCATGCAGGATTGTGTGCACAGATCCCACGAAAATGCCAACTTTGGAGGTGATGTTTTCCACACTTAATCGGCGATCCTCCAAAACAACTTTCTCAACTCGCTCGACCATGTTGTCAGACTGGCTGGTGCAAGGCCGAGATTGTTTTGGTTTGTTGTCACATGACGTTTGGCCTTCTTTGAACTGTCACACCCATGAACGTTCATTTTTCACATTCGTGACACCATCACCACAAGTCTCACTCAATGGCGATGAATTTCAGTGGGTGTCGCACCAGCCAAGTGGAGAAAACGAATGATTATTCGTGTTCTTGTAACGAAAACGTTGCCATTTTAGGTATCAAAAACACTCCTCACTCTCGTCGCCACCACTAGAGTTCTGTGTGCCGTACAGTGCTGCTATCTCTGTCACGCATTCACAAAGAGTACACATGTATTTTATGATTTATAAATTTAATTGTTTCCTGCATCCTGTTGTGTATTTTAATGACTATTAGAGTTAATTTTACCGACCACACAACACGTTTTTTATTTACTGTCACACTACATGTTTCGACCTAAAGAGGTCATCCTCAGGTGTACGAACACAGTTGCACAATCACACGCAATCACATTCGTTTTTCCACTTATTTTGATCCTGTATCCTGTTCAGGTCCACGCTCAAATAATGTGTGTCAAGTTCCTCTTACAAAACATAAGTTAAAAATACAAATGTTAAAAGTTAAAATTTAAAATTTAGTTCACTGTAGCTAGTTATATTATTACCACTTGGTTAAAAAGTTCATGAAATAAACTTCAACTCATCACATTGACTGCATTTTCACTTTTGAAGGTCTTG